CTTCTAAAAGCGATCTGTTGAACATGTTAGCTAATGGATGGCATAAAGTATCAGCCCACTTCGCGAATACGAAGCTTGACGTACCATCCGGACTTCAGCTATGAGAAAGGTTCAGGGATTTCAGACATCTGAAAACATCGTTCGCGGTGAACTCTGGACAACGTTCTTCATTGGACATAGGTAAACGAAGTGGGATCGAACAAGTAGGTTGACGTAAAAATGATTTGTTCAAGGCACAGACATTGACATATGCTTCTTTGCTGAGGTGTTTACTACCAGTGACAAAAGTTTCTTGTTGTATATTAGACTCAGACGTTTAGTTTCCAACCTAATTAAAACGCTCAATCGAGGAGCACCAGCATTATCACTTACCTTATATAGTCTTTCTTTTCCTCTTCTCAGTTTCTTAAACTGGGGGGAAGATATACGACCGAAGAGTGGAGAAAACTTCTCATTTGGGTAACATACATCTATGCAGAATTTGACATAGCATGTTACACCATCAACAGTATCATTCAGATCATAGCCGTCAAATATATTCCAGTCTGTACATTGAAGCGTTTCTAAGTGAATAAGTTCTATGTACAATGAAAGCTGTTTTGTCTAGTTTGCCACATATTTTGGGCAAAACACGTATGATGCAATGATCTGGGCTAAGCGGTGGGGATCTCTTTTGAGTTTCGTATATATCAGTACCAAGCCCAGTGTTGCATCCTGAAGTGTTTGTGAAGTTAACAATGTTTTGATGACCAAGAGTTTTGAGAAAATTCTGGTCACAAAAGTTGAAATCGCCACATATTATCGACCGGGAACCACAGAGTATGAGGATTGGAAATTCCGTGAATACATCAGAGAAATTGGATAGTTAGGAGAAACTGAAACTAGGCGTCACATAATTATTTGTTAATTAAATAAAGCGATATTTGTTCAAATGATTTGGGCGGCATTTTACAGTGATGTAATCTATGTGGTCATTAGAGAATTTGAAGCAAATGTAACTCGAAATGCACCAATGAGTATTGATGAAGGTAGCTAGTCCACCTCCACTTTTCTTGTTATAGCTACATCGTTCTTGACGGAAAATTTTGAAATCATCCAAAGAACTCATATTGTCATCATAAAGTTCATGTAACCAAGTTTCTTGCAGTGTAATTACTCCAGTATTACGGTACACATCTGAGGATAATAGAGATTGTAAGTAATTCACTTTTTCTTGCAGGTCACTGCAGGAAATGACCTACAGAGTCATTTGAGATAAGGTTACTCGCCTCAAAGTACGTTGCTATCTGCCATGATGCGTTTTGCTCATCTAATTTGATCCTGGAATAGCAGAAGGCCATAAGCTTCTTAAAAATATGCGTGTCTGTATAATGCAATCAGAGGACATAATAGAATGATGAAAATGAAAACATCTGTTGAAAATTTGATGCAGTATGACAGATGCAAAATTTATTAGCCCAGATATTCAAGCAGGCCGAATTTTCGTTATTTATGTGGTTGTCTTCATCTATGGTTTGAAAAACTCTTGAAAGAAATAAACTTTCTCTGTAAGTTAACAGTTAGTAGTTATGTGGAGCTGTGGCCTATTAGTTGAGCCAGTGTGCTATAGATTCGAGGGTCATAGATACGAACATTGCTCCACCTACTATAGTTCGGACAGTTAGGGAGTGGTACGACATGCAGCATACTAAGTGTGAGTATGAGCACGCATGATGTCGCTGACAGAATTTAGTCGTTTATTTGAGTTTAAAGCATTTTAAAATAAATATATCAAACCATTTGTATATATTAAGTCTATTTTCCGACTCATAAACTGTTTATTTTTGCTGAAATAATTCAACAGAAGTCAGCTGATGAGCACAGATGGAAATCTTCAACAGAAACTCTTAATAGTAATCGTCTCAATTATCTGCCTAATGAATATTCATAACATTTTTATTTTTTTTAAAGAATAATCCATGTTAGAAAATTACTCAACTTTTTACTGGATGCATTATTCCTTTGTAATCAAATCCCTACATTTTACAACCATCTTGGCTGACTTCGAAAATGACGTTTTCTGATGAAAATTCAAAAATCCACCGTCTATAAAGAAATCATAATACACAGGATGATTCATTTAGATAAAAATCATAATTAGTTGTAGGATTATTTGGTAGTTTTAGCACAATAACCTACCAGTCAGTCAGTCAGTATTGTGTTGTGTTATGTATATTGTTGTAATATAATTTACTTGTTTATACGTACGTCATAAGTTTGTATTGCTTAAATATGTCATAAACATCGGCCACCGTGAATTATTATTATTATTAGTCCCTTGGGTTCCTAATGGAACATAGAGCGTCAATAGCACGTCTCCACTCCACTCTGTTCTCTGAAATCTTTTGAACCTGGCTCCATGACAGCCCACAACCTCTCATTTCCTCCTCGCACGATCTCCTCCAGGTCACCCTCACCTCGGACATCCAACTCATCGCTTCCCATGGGGATTCCACTCGAGCAACTGGCCTGATGCTTGATGTCCCCAGTCGGCCTTTTCAGTGCATGCCCAATCCATCTCCACTTCATTCCACTGCATATTTGTTGCACGATAGGTTCTTGGTTTGTTCGTTCCCAGAGTCCTTGCTGTTTATTCTTGTTATCCTGGCCATCTGATCCTCAGTAGAGAGCCCGTGTAGGCAGTTGTTGATGAATGTCTGTAGTTTATTGGAAATCCCTTTCGTAACGCGCCCAAGTCTCTCAACCATACAGAAGTACTGACTTGACTGAATTGGTGTTGAAAATCCGGATGTTGTTCCACATGCTGAGTGCAGAAGATCTCCACACTGGTTTCAGTCTAATGAACGCCTGTCTTGCTTTTCCGATTCTGACTTTGACATCCTCGTCTGTGCCTGTGTTGCCTGTAGTTGAAACAGTGTCGCCTAGATAGGTGAAGGAGGTTACTTCATTTAAGTTTCTCCCGTTGGTGGTGGTTGGAGTTTGCTGTTGTTGTTGTTGGTGGTGCAGTAACTTCATCACTTCTGTCTTCTCTACATTCACTTGGAGTCCCATCTTCGCTGCCTCTTCTGTCAACTTGTCAGTTTTCACCTGTAGATCTTCAAGTTTGTGTGACACCAGGCACAAGTCATCGGTGAAATCTAGATCTTCTAGGTTCTTTCCCGCAGTCCAGCGTATCCCCCTCTTCTCACTCCCCACTGTTTACTGCATGATCCAGCCACCGTGAATTAGTTAGCCTTTACTAATCTCAACTCTCTTCAAAGACATTTACAAACATCATGTAAATACGGAGTGTGAGTTAGGCTTTAGGCTTATCTTGGTGTCAGAAGACGAGTATAAGACCTTTTTATGTTTACTCAAAAACTGAATTTACATAACAATCAAATCGTGCAGAATTCGTTTCGATGAGTGGATAATCCGTAAGTTGTTTTAGAGATACTCTATCAGAGATGTCTTAATTGATATATTTCACCGAATAAGACTATCTGAGATAGCCTCTGTTTTAGCAGACTATTGTTATTGATTCAAAGTGACAATTGAAAATGAAATGAAACCTCGGGTCATGGAAGCATTTCTATTAGCTACTTCCGGTTGTCAAATCGGTGTTCAACCAAATGAGTTACTAGACCTAGCTACTTATCGGGCATTAAATTCAATTCATTCACCAAAGTTTTTGCATGGCTACCAAGTGAATATGTGGTACGTAACTGTACATTCATAATACTTACTGAATTATCACCAAAATTCCTCTAGAGAGTAGTTTTAATGAATTTAGGTCTAATTAACTATTTACTTACACTTTTTAAAGTTAAAAACACCAATATTGTACTAAGTAACCATGCTTTTAGTGTCACACTTTATTGTGTTACTGATTTGTATAGAGAAAATCATTATGTAAATATGACTAGTGAAAGGCTATGATTATTCGTCTACTTCAGATAAATGATGACAAATATTTCTTGTCATTCCTTTAACAGATTTTGAACAATTAAACTTGTACATAATGGTCAAAATATTCAGCTTAAACATCATCTATGTTTATAGCCTATATTAGTAACGATAATATGATATCCATTGAAGTATTTTGTGTCATCAGTCTGGCGTTCAGATCAAGGAGTAGTAGTGCATTTGGCACAGAGATTACAAACGTGAAGTTGAATCCTTCTTGAATAAATTTTAATTTGATCAGTTATTTATTGTCAATTTTCTAATAAAAAGTAACAAATAGTAGAGAAGGTCTGTAGCTCAAAGATGAGAATGACAATTGTTTGCTGTTCGCCTACCTTTGGGGTTACTTTTTGAATGATTTACCGCCAGGTTAGGCAAATTATTCAGCATTTACTTCATGGAGCAATAAATAACGATTATCTTTGAATTTCTTATAGTTGGTAACCAATTTAGCTAAATTTCACACTAGCTATCAAGGGCGTATATAACTGCATTGATCGGTCACTGGAGAATAACGAATTTAATTTTTTCTAGTTCTCATTGCTGACTGAATTCTATGGATCATTTTGAAGTGTGGTCAGGTGGCTAGGTGGTTCACCATCACGGTAAACTTTGATAGATGTTAGTTGGTTGGAGGTAGTCGACAGGAAGCCATGCTTTACCTAGGTTCCATGCTTGTTGTTACTCATCGAAAAGATGAATTCGCAACATCATGGGAGCTTATTTCTACTCTGATTATCGAACCCGAATTATTGTCGATTGTCTCCAACCCACTAATAACTTAACGAATTAATAAGCTGTTAATATGAGAAAAGCAATTTTCATAACCTAGGAGAGGTATTACTAGTGGGTAATATCTTTGCTAAGCTCAACAATAATAACTAGTGTTAAAGTAGAAATGTGTTGAAAGTAATCATCTGTTTTGTCCTTTTATGTTCAGCTATTGCGTAACCTAATCAGCGTAATCATTTTGATTGGATACATTACTACTGATCTCATTGGACTCATCTATCATCTACACTATGATATAAGGATCATAGTGATCATTTGAAAAACAATTGTTGTCAAAGTAATAATATAAACATGAAAATGAGAATGATTTTCTTCTCAATTTTATTGATTACTGTCAATATAAGTTTGTCCAAGTAAGTGCTTTCTTGAAGTCTACATTTTTATTTCATCGTTTTTATTCTACTTGTAAGTAGTAAAATTTCTTCGAATAAAAAAGTAACAGAAGCTATTAAAAGGTTAAGATTTAACCATTACTACGAATACTCAGAAAGGAGAAAACTGAAGTTAGGATGATATGAATGATAAAGAATAACTTTAATTAATTTTGTTATGGGGGTTCACCAAATAACAAGAAAAGAATACTTTAGTTAAAGGAAATTTACCGATAAACGAATTTTTATCTACCTTGTATTTAAAGGCATCTTTCTTATTAGTACAAATTGATAGCCATTAAACAGAATTCATCACAGATAGTATTTCATTTGTTGACTTCTTTGCTTTCCGTCTAAATGGAGATTATTATTTTAACTCTTTGAACTGCTTGTTCAGTCTAAACAAAGTCAAGCTTCCTACTTTGATATAACATTTTAGCAAGTTCTAAATGGATTACTAGAGTAAGAGTAATAAAGAATTTGATTTAAAGCGATAACTTATACTCACAATGAAACTGAACCAAGTAATTGAGCTTAACCATTTCACTTACTGATAGGGTTCATCTAGCCTATCTAGAACTTAAAACAGGATTTCATGAAATTTCCAGTCAATTGTAGATTTCACTAATAGACTGTGGTAAAATTTTCCAATGTTTGAGTGAAAAATTAATCTATCCTAACGAAAAAGTAGTTAAACTTATATTAAACATGTTTCATACATTTTTTAGTAGTTTCTGTTTAACTTTGCTAAGAAGACTAGGTGGTTAGATTAAGTAGGCATCATTTGTTTCAGCCTTCAATGAAGCTATAGCAGTTTTAGTGAATTCATTAAATGTGAATGAAACCGGTAAAATTTTGAGAGTTTTACTCATAGCAATAGAGCAATTAAAAGTATTCAGATAAACTGAGATGCAACTTCTACTGACTTTAATGGTGTGAAGATATTCACTAGTTTATCGAAGACATGTGGTGTGGGTTGGAGTTGATGCTTGATGTGTAACAAACGATGTCCCTCTCCAAAAATTGCTTGTTTTTGTGGGAACATTAGGGAAATCGTTTAAGGCATGGTACCAGTCACCTCAGGTTTCAATGAGCTTACATTGTTAAAGTGTTTCCTTTGGTGTATATCCATATTCTATCCAATACTGTATCGGTAACTTGCTCATGATATGCTAGGGGCCTTCAATCCAACAGAAGGCACTGATGAATGAATGAGATGGCTAGATGTCACCCAGACTATATATGAGAGGTAAAACAAATGACAATGTCCTGGAATTATTTAAATAATCGGAATTTCTGATCATATGGTTGTTTTTTTTGACACATTTAACTGCAATTACTCTGAGTGTCGGTTATATACTTTAAGAATAATTCATGAGTTGCTTCAAAATAAGCACACTAATTCTACAACTACCACTGCATATTTATGTTTTCCCTGAATTTTTCTTGGTATTATGGTTTTTCATTAACTAATTTAGCTGTTTATAATAACCTCAAGTGGAATATTTTGTCTTTAAATTCTTAAGCGGTTACTCAATTTCAAACTACGCCTTATTTGTGTAAGAATTCGAGGTTTCAATCTATATTTTATTGGTGCATCAGTTTATTGATTAGGCTTAGAGAACCCCTGCTAATAAGACACTAATTTCACGTCGTTTATCAAATATTCTACTCAGCTAGCATGTTAACCAAAAATATGTGACTGCTCATGATTTATCATTCTGATTTCCAAATTAAATTTCTTCATTGTAACCCCAATAGATATGAATCACAGGGCGAAAGAATACCTGAGTAATGAATAAATGAATCACTTGCAATAAACCCCTTTAGTGGACCTAATTTCTTATCAAAGGATATCGAGTGAACTATATATTGAGAATATTAAGCTTTTGTGCATATATTCAAGTTTCTTATATAGATAGTTGATGAGTATCAGTAAGTGCATACACACTACCACAGCTACCTTCCAGTTATTCAGTAGTATATACTCTTCTCTTACAATAAACCTCACTTCTCAACATCACTTGTAAGTGGTATATACTAACCGCTTGGTGTTTTTGGTCTCATTATTCGTCAATTATCTCTTCATCTCATCTTCTTCATTCTCTAGGGAAATGCCAACTGATCCAACATCAAATATGAACTCGGTAATACACTTCTATTTCTGTTATATACATCTTTATCCAATAGACCATTGCTTGTGAATTAAATGTAGTGAAACGAATACAAGATTTAATTATAGGATACACTGGACAAAACTCTACGATGATCAAAACATTTTTACAAAAGGATGATCTAGAACAGAAAATGCATATTTTTTTTGCTACAAGTATGTGGACTTATTAATTACTGTTTCCAAGATTTCTGAATTTAACTCACACCTTCTTCTGTTGTTTTGTTCCCTTAGTAATTAAACGTATTGATGAAGTATTAGATGGTCAGATTACAATAGGAGTGATAGCAACATCTGAAGCTAATGCTACAGGAAATGCATAAACTTATCTTTTCAGCATACTCCAATCTGGACATGATTCCAAATGATTAAATGTAACGCTTCAAAATTCAAAATAAAAATTTAATCTTGTTATCTCGTATTTCAATTGCTTAAATTGAATAAATTTTAATGACTAATCACAGACCAAATTGTCAGAGCAAGCTACTAAAACACTCACGGAGAGATACTTACAGCTCATTTCATACTGAAGTTAGAACTTATGATGTCTTCCAGAAATATGATGAAAGCTTCATGATTAAATAACTCAGCTCAGAGAACACAATACAACCAAGATCATCACCTGAGCTACAAATATTCCCATTATTTCAAAGGCTAACTTATACAGTCAAAAATTTTAAATGTAGGGTAGTGGAAAATGCTGTCAAAATGACTTCTTCCTTAAAAACATGAGATTATCTATCAATTTGATAATATATTGGTGTAAACGGTATAGCGTAGGAGAGGCTAAAAGTTATCCTGAAGTGTTATCATGCTGATCATAAGTTGTAAAGTGTTTTGTGAAAATACGAACACTTTCTGTGTTCTCTATCAATATTCTACACATTTGTATAGCTTTTATAATGCCATCTGTAAATGAATTGTGTTTCAAACAGTTTAATTCATACCGAAAGTGTTGGCCACACTTCCAGTTCTTAAGTGGAAAGTAGGTAAAGTTATTTAAGATGAATGATGTTCACACATCACAGTGACTTAGTTGAGGCTTCAAATTAAATCCAAAAGAATTATGATTTCAGTTTTCACTTCAGAATATATCCGTGCATATTTTCAGACCTCGTAAAGCCGAAGAAGAGAGACCGAGGTCTTCGCAAAAACTGGCGCAGTGTCATGCTCCACTCCTGTCCAACCAAAGCAAGCAAAACATTAGCCACAGCATCCTGGAGAGATTAAAGCATGTGCTGGATTCAAAACCAAGACCGGATCAAGCTGGATTCAGGAAGTACAAATCATATGCGGACCAAATTGCAACGCTAGGTATCATCATAGAACAGAGTATAGAATAGCAGTCAACTATACACCTCAACTTCATCGACTTTGGGAAGGCCTTCGACAGCGTCGATCGACAAGTAATTTTGCAGGCAGCTGCTTGAACACTCCGGTTTTGGTGTCACAGACAATCATCAACGTCATTCAACAGCTGTATGAAGACACCACATGCCAAGTAATTCACAATAGAAAGCTGAGCTCAGTGATGACTTCGAAGTGGCAACAGGAGACAGGAGTAACACAAGGCTGTCTACTATCACCCATGATATTCCTGATTGGAGTGGACTGAATCACGCAACAAACAGTGAGGAGCAAGAAGAGAAGGATACGCTGGATGCACTGGGGAATTGATCCTAGAAGATTTAGATTCCCAGATGACCTATATCTAATGTCACACTAACTTGAAAATCTACAAGCAAAATCCAACAAGTTGACAGAAGAGACAGGGCAGGGCAGGGCAGGGCAGCAAAGACGGGACTTCGAGTTAACGTAGATGAGAAAGAGATGGAGGTGATGAAGACACCCAAACAACAACAACAAGAAAAACAAGCTCCAATCACCACCAACGGGAGAAACTGAAAGGAAGTAACGTCTTTCACCTATCTAGGCAGCACTGTTTCAACTACAGGCGGCACAGACACAGACGAGGATGTCAAAGACAGCCAGGATCGGAAGACAGTAAGACAGGCATTCATTAACCTGGAACCAGTGTGGAGATCTTCGACACTCAGCATAAAGCGTGAACAACATCCGGATTTTCAACACTAATATCAGTCAAGTAAGTGAGTGCTTCTGTGTGATGGTTGAGAGACTTGGCGTGTTACGAGAGGGATTTCCAACAAACTGTAGATATTCATCAACTGCTGCAGCCTACGCTGACTCATTACTGGAGCTGAGACGGCCAGAATAATAGGAATAAGCAACAAGGAACTCACTCTGGCTGGCTGGCTGGCTGGCAACAGACCAACCAAGAACCTATCGCTCAACAAATATGTACTGCAAGGAAGTGGAGATGGATTGGGCATACACTGAGAAAGCCGATTGGGGACATCACGCACCAGGCCAGGTCGTCGAGTGGAACGCAGATGGGAAACAGCGAATTTGGTGTCCGAGGCGATGGTGACATGAGTAGATTGTGTGAGGAGAAATGAGAGTTTGTGGGCAGTGGTGAATTCAGGTTGTAAAGATTGCAGAGAAGAGAGTGGAATGGAGACGTGCTAGTAAAGCCGTATGTCCTACTAGGAACCCAAGGGACAAATATTATAACATTTTCAGATGAAATGCGTTATAATACATGAGGATAACTTTAGTCTCACTCTGTAGTATGATTGAAAGCTGTCAACAAAACAACGGGAAGATTCATTATTTTAATATTTAGCACTTAGCGAAATGTTGTGATACGTCAAAAGAATGAAATATTTGGAGCTATTGGACACCACGTTGATTAGTGCTACCGAAATAGGGTATGTCAAAACTTTTGAGCAATTTTTTCATGGACTGAAATTTAAATAGTGCATCGATTCAATGCATTGTTGTACGAAGTTGCCGAAATTTTTCTAAGGTTGATCAAAGGTCTTAAATCATTATGGCCAACCAAAATATCACATTTAGAAATAGAGTTGTGAAGAAGCTATTTCTCAAAATATTTTTGTGCCAACAAGAAACCCTTTATGGCTTGAAATGAATAAAGTAGTACTGATTCTCTATTTGTTGTATTTAAACTAACGCATGAAAATCAAATCTCTCTGCTTCTCTGAAACTGCACTTATTCAATATCTGATTGAAAGAAAAAACATTCCTTGCAGTAGTCTTCGCGGACTGCTTACATAGTGGTTTATTCTGAAAGATGTACTTGAGTTGCGACTACGCATATGTTTGAACACAGGTATGTACTTTAGTGTGGATTAAAGATTACAGCTGAAAGATTATTCAAATCTCATTTCAAAGATGCAAATCCTAAGGTTACTTCAAAAGAGGAACTTGTTGACAAACTATTGGGACGTAAAACTTCTAATCCTCCTGATGTCATATCCACTTATTTGTAAAAATAGCTATGAAAACTGCAACTTACTACGATAAAAAGACCATCGTATTTCTTCAGTGTAGTCCTTATTTTATTGGATTCATGTGAACATATTACTATAAATTTTGAGCAAAGCGCGAAGAGAAAGCAGATTAAGTGTAAACTGAGGAAACGTCTTTGCAATAGGTGTGAGGACCGGGGGCTCATTGAAGGCTAAGGAGATGGAAATGATATGAATGAAAGGCAGTTACTGAGATTAATTAAGGAAACCGGGGAAAACATTTTGACACTTAGCATGGCAGTTGTGGAGAAAGATGTCTCTGTAATCATTTTTTTCATCTAGCCCCTAGTTATTCTTTGGTTACCCATTCAGTAGTCACAGCTGAATGGACTATTTACATAGGGCCGTAAATTAAGTGGAGGAAGAAGCACCAATGGGCCATGATAAAGTGTTATCGCACATTTTAGTAGAGGTTTGCCCAGTATTTTAAGTTGGAACTTCCCAAGTGTTAGACATCAAGTAAAATCCTTCTAACTGGTACCACCGTTATCTCTCGAAACTTTCAAGAAGGAGGAGAGATTCAATTGTGACAAACAAGGACAGAGTAACCTAAATAATACATTGTCTACGATTTTAGGTTCAGACGCTTAAGTGAAGTTCAGAAACAGCAAATCCTAGAAAGCTAGGCAGGTTCCTCACCTAACAGTGGGTACAGTGAGCAGGGATTTACTCTATGCCAAAATTTGGCAAATAGGTATACCCATCGGTTATTGATAGCAGCTGTATTTCCAACTTGGAAGGCGGCATCCGACCTTGTCTATTGAGAGGTCTTCTAAAAATTTCTCATAGAAACCCTGAGAAGACAAGTAAGCTAAACAAATATGTATCAGTGTATATATATGTATTGCAGCAAATAATATTGACCAAGCAGCTGTGGTTAAGTTATCCTCTGATTTGAAAGAGTGAATAAGTAATAAAGCACACGCAGGTTCAGTGGTGGTAATTCATTCAGCTAGTGTGAAAATCTATAGTTCGATCTAATTATTTTGGGAAGAGTTAAGTGATTTATTGTTGTATTTGAGGGGTTTGTGGGGTTTTAGTAATTTTTCAAGTTAGTATTCATCATTGCAGTCACGCTGTGTGATGAACTGACAGAAGTTGGAAATGTAGACCATTGGATTCCGGCCCAGTGCATCAATGTTAACGTGCTGGCCACGAAACCTGAAGGGTTCGACCCCTGGGTCATGGGGTGCGCATCGCTGAAGAGTCCCACACTAGGACGGAACAGCTGCCCAGTGCTCCCAGATTTCGATTGTTCATCCAATTGATATCAGTATATAACGAATACCAATTTATTGTTGTACATTGACAACCCTATCGCCATCTACTGTGACGTTTGTGCTTTCTTTCACTGCGGTATCCGATATGTTGACATGTAAGCTTAATGTAACACTGCAGATTAAAAATATTGCAAAATATAAAGAGAATAATGGAAATTACTCTCAAAACTACTTATTTCACAAACTGTTTGTTTGAAATAATGACCACCAACATCAGTCATGCTACACAATGCTTAGAAGGTAACAAGTCGGATATCGACATTGGCTTTCTTTCACTGTTAACTTGCAAAATGGTAGGTTGAAAACGTTAAAAAAATCTAAAAACGTACATAATATGATTAGAAGATATATCATAAGGATTATTACAGCTGAAATGAAACAATATGATGTAATGCACTTCGTGTAGAACATATGATTGCATAAGTTTCAAGTAGGTCATCGTCTCAACAGTTTATTCAAAGTGTATTTTAGAAAAGTAGGTCTGTGACTTATTCTGATGAAAATACAGTCGGATTTCACCAGCCTAATGCACATTATTGGATTCATGTGAACATACTCCTGTAACCTTATTACTCGAAAACTCTTAATCCTAGCAGAGCCTAAAATAAAGGGGTAGTAAGTAAAAGATCAATGATTCGAGGTAGATATTTTCTTTTCGGTAAATTGCAATGAAAGTGTAAGTATTTACAGTTTCTGTAGTTCATCTGTTGATATTTAATACAAC